TTTTCCCTTGACCAAATTTTGACCGTATCACCCTTTATTCGTATTTTTTTGTTTTAAATCGCAGCTTAATCTATGCCCGGCACAATCGGCTAAATCGGCACACCATCGGTACACTTGCAGCAGACTGAGAAAAATGTTGACCCAAGATTGGTGTGCGGAGAGACCTACCCCTTACAGTCGCTTACAGTCTAAGAGTTTTGCCATCATCTTAAAGTAAATTACTTGTAGTTTCACATGCATGGTTGATAACTTGCACCATTTTGCACCACATTGAGTTACAAGTACATAAAAAATGGCCAAAAAAACAATAAAAACCTTAATAACTTTTTAATTTGAAAAACTACAGGGTTGTTATTTTGGTATCCATGACAGGGGATGAGTACTTAAGGGGGTTAGATTTTGATAAGTTCTTTAGTGGGAATGACACTGATGAAGACTGCACATTGTAGTCGAAATACGTATCTGTCATGGATACCAAAATTAATTAAGTGGAATTAAATGGAAGATAACCTTTTTTGCTGTTTTATTTAGCATTCCGCTAACAACCCAATTTCATTACTTTATTATAAACACGCGATTCTCTGTGCGAAGAGTGAGTTCAAAATCCCGGTATATGTGGATTGTGAAGCAGTGACCGTTCGAGTGCATGATCTTCCTCTGGCATGGCCACAAGCCACTGTTATGAACCACATGGCAAAGTACGGGACAGTGATTTCCAGTCGACATGAGAAATGGAAGCACTACTTCCCAGGATTCGAGTGTTCGAGTTTTGCGAATGCGACTCGAAAGCGCCATTCCATCGTACATCACGGTCGACAACGAAACAACGTTGGTAACCAAAAACGTGCCGCCATTGTGGCCGAGCAGCACATCCCAAACAGAAATGTTTGGATGTAGCCACATCGAACAATAGCACCGCTCCAGCAGCTCCACCAACCGAGGGGGTATTCAGTCTCGATGATTTCCCGTCGATTGATATCGAACAAAACCAGCCAACGACATCGGGTCAATCATCTCCTGCTTTCACCGGGTTCTCAGCAGAAGAACAACAGCGAAACATCGACAATCAAACCGAGGATCATCACACTTCAAGCAACGACGAAAACTCTAGCACCAGCTCATCAAACGCAACAAAGGATTTCAATGAAAATACCAACAAACGCCGGCTGTCGAAACACAAGGAGAACGAAAAAAAGAAAGTTCGTGCTGATCAGTGCACCCAGAAGACTGGTCAGCAAATAGATCGTTTAGATGAAAATAATGCAACTTATCAAATAGGGGATAATACGTTTTATTTGAAAAATAAAAGCGGTAAGGGATCTCATTGTAAATAATGGTCATCGGCCCAAGCAATGCCTAATAGGCGAGGGGGCCTTATAAATAAACGCATAAAAAATATAAAATCTTTAAAACAATTTTTTCTCAAAAAAGGATTTTTTGTATTTTTTTTTAATTTTTGGTATATTTTAGGGAACAAAAATGCCATCTATTGCACTAAAGGTGAAGATAGAGAAATGATGAACAAAAAATTTATGATTTTTTTTTTTTAAATCAAGTGTTTGGAAAAATATTCAAAACTTGGTCCAATTACTTTTATAAGTTCTTTGTATATACCAACGAGCGAAATATGTATTTGCAATAAAATATATTGTTTTAAAACATACACATTCCGATTAATTCACACCATATCGATGAGCCACCAGAAGCATTTTCATTGTAAAATTTTCTGATCTTTCCGGAAAAAATGTTTTTCGAACTGAAGAACCGCAAAATACATTTAAAAAGGCCGAAAACTACCAACATTATAAAATATCTACTTTCAAACTGCTACATCTCGAAAACGGTGTGAGTTAGCAAAATTTTACACAGGTGCTTTTTTCTTGTAAATTTGGTGTACTTTCATTTCAGCAGTAATTGGACCAAGTTTTGGATATTTTCCAACAATTTGTTTTTTTTTTTAATCAGAACTTTTTTGAAAATTTTTCCATCATGACATATAGTGCAATATATGGCATTTTTGTCCTCTAAAACATATCAACAAATAAAAAAATACAAAAAGACCTTTGTGAGAAAAATTCTTTTTAAGACTTTATCTGAAATTTAAAATAAAAGTTGCGTAAATTTTTTTAGAGTGCATATTTTTTTCAAATAGTTTCGTCTATTACCTGCAATATTGTTCAAGACAAACACAAACAGTTTTCAAGTAAAAATTTTCTGAAGATAAGCTTGATATATTTCTATATGCCCTTTTCAAAAATAAGGCTGGAATCAAAATGGCGATATGAAGATGCAAAATGGCATTTTTGGTCATAAGGAACGTTTCCGCAAATTTTCAACCAAATCAAAAAATACAAAAATAAACCGATTTGTGAATTTACAGGGAATTGGTTTTTTTCTGAAATCAAGCTTCAAGCAGTAAGCGATATAAAAATGTAATCATTAAATTTAAAATAATCAATGGTTAAGCCTTTTCACAAGTTGGTCGTGAAATTCAAAAAAATGTTTATGAACAACGTATATTGACGATAAACTACTATAAAAATTTCAGAAATTTCGAAAGAATTATGGAAATATTTTTGACCGCCTGCTGTATGGAAATCCCCCATAGTGATGTTGTATGCTTCGGTCTACATTGGTTCGGTGGGTATAGTGTAACAAGGGCGTAGTCAGGATTCAAGCTAGGAAGGGGCGAAAAAAAATTTACGATGGAAAATTTGGTCGAATGCCATTTCACCGACAGCCTTTGTGTTTCTAAGTTTAGGGGGGCAGTTCACAATAACAATAACAATAACAATAGTAACTGTATCACAGTATATAACATATAAAATATGCGAAGAGCTTTCAAAAATATATGAAAATCGATAACAATTTAATTTCATAAATTAATAAGCCTTTTTGTGAATCTTTCAATGGATAGGCCTTTTTTGTTAAGCCGTTGTGCTTGTCATCAGAAATGGTACGCCCTTTGCTAAGCCTTTTCGCAACGTCAAATAAATTCAAAACAAATCATCGGCCCTGCCTCAAGCAGTAGGGCCTAGCTTTGGTTTGAAAATTTTCAATCATCGGTCACTTCTACGTCACTAGGCTTATCGATGAAATGAAATAAATGAATGGTTGGCCGTTTTAGTGTGCGGGCCTATTAATGAATTGAAAAATTTCGTTGATCGGCCGTTTCGAAAATCGAGTTATTTTTAATGATTTTTCTCGATTATGCGGAACTTTCCTACACGATTAGTAGTTATCAAGCGGTGCTAAAGAATGGTATCAAAACCCGATTTGTTTACGTTATGGACATAGGCCCATTTCAAATGTTACTCGAGATATGATTGTTTTCTTCACAGTAACTTTTGAAGATGGCGTATTAAAAAAAATGATTATATTTTTTTTCAAAAAATCATAACATCAAAACTATTGATCTGATCAAAATGACACCTGAACATAAGTTGTAGGTAATGAAATTATCATTGAAACTATCTTTTAAAAGAAAAAAAACCTGATAAATTAATATTAAAAAATCTTAAACATTAATTATCTCTAAACACCGCCCCTTCAATCTTAAATTTTTTTTAATCAAGAAAACTGAAGGAATGTTCTAAAATTTGGTGAAGAATGTAGAATGAATACTTGCTTTAAAAAATCTACATTTTTTTTTAATTTTAATAAGTTGATAAAAGTGCATACCTTTTAGTAAAATAATAATTAATTCAGATTTTACGCATAATTTTCGAGATACTTGTACGTATAAACTGTTTTCCTTAGTCCAGCCATTCTCAAGGTAATGCGAATTATTAATAATAGTAATAATAATTTAAAACATTTCAGACCATTTTTAAATGTTAGTCGTGATGTCCAGCAAAGAGATCATTTTCCATAATTGTATATTAAGAAAACAAATAATTCATTCTCAGATATGGTAGCTTCGTTTCTATTTAGACGCAGCGGAAAAGAAACAATGTTATGAGTAAGAAACTCTCCATCCTCTCTGTATCCAAATAATCAACCCTAATGTGCCTTTTTCAGTCCTCAATTAGTTGTATACCTGGGTAGAATTGTGTATGGCATAACAGAGGCAAAAAAATCTAAACAGGTAAACAAATATCTGTTGAAATTAAACCCAACGATTTATAGCACTACCAGAGTTGACCTCTTTGAAAGGAAAATTCATCATTTCTTAAAGCAATACAGTGAATTAATAAAATACTAGAAACATTATTGCCATTATATTTACAAGAAATGGCATCCTACTACTTCAAAGCACATACATACATTATCATCTATCAATAAAATCCAACTTATTATTCACATCATACCAAATGGTTTCTGTTTCAATCTCCCACCAACGCCAACCTCAATAAATCAAATGCCGTATTTTCAAGCGGATCTAGCCTAAATTGCATTTATTACTTAATCTCGAATACCAGATCACCCACCCGATCTAGAATCTTATTCAAATCAACTTTTCCTCACCCTCCCCCAGTTAATGAAACAACTGTTCCTCTCTTTAACCAAGTCAACTGGCAGTCATCAAGTCCAACTTACCTACCGGGCGTGCTCTTATTTCATTAAATTAAATTGCGCGTACCAGAGGCACTTACTCAACGCGGTCCCCGCCGTCCAACGTCCGTCAGTCTTTGCACGCGTGCAAACATCTTGTCTGTGGCTGACCGGACAGACAGCAGGAGGAACAAGCTACCATAAACGGATTAAGTTTCGCAAATATTTTTCTTACAACGGCGCAGCTGTAAATCATTTCTTTCCGTTCTGGCCATAAGTCGGTTCACGTGGTTAGTCGACAACTATGTGACAATCCTACGCTCCTCGCGTCACGTCTTGCCACAAAATGCTCAAAGGAACAAAAATGCCCCAAAGTTCTAAACCCTCTTGATCGCCTTTTGCGGTACATCACCCCCACGCAGTTTCCTAATTAATTGATCAACTCGTACAATTTGGTCGCACAGCTTACTAATTCTACCGTTTTGAATTCCCCGATCCCCCCACAGATATACCTGAAAAAGGTCAACGCATCCTGGGGCACACTGGACAGCAACCAGTACCACATCCAAACGGACGAAGGCCCCGAACGGTACTTCAGATATCAAACCGACAACGGACAGTTTCGGAAGGAGAAACGCCTCCAAGATGGCACAGTGATTGGTACGTATCGGACCGTAGGAGTTATTTGGGGCTATGGTGTTGATTTGGCAATTTGCTTTGTTCTCTGTACCCGGTTGCCCGTTTAGGAACTGATGCCTGGATCGATGCCTCCGGCTACCTACGCCAGAAGGACTACATCGCCGACGATAAGGGCTATCGGATATTGAAATCGAAAACGGTGTTCGTCGGGAAGGATCGGCCGATTCAGGTATACACGCTGGAGAATAACTGGACGCTGATTTGCATTCAGGTCAAAACAAGTCAGTGAACTATTTTTAAATCATATCGTTTGCTCATTTCCAGGACGCCATCAAATCCGTCAAGAATCGACCGGCCGATTCCGGAGTCCTAGTATCTCAGGGTCCAGCCTACCGGCCTTCACTGCCACCTGCACCGGTGGCCATCGTGCCAACGACTCCAGCACCGATAGCCCCACCAGTGACCCCATCGGGCATCAAATCCGTCTTTATAAGGCCTCACTCGCAGCCTGTTAGCACCAGCTATCTGCCGGCAAATATTGCACGTGATCAATATTTACCGCCTAGCAGACACTATTCTACTAGCACGCCAAGGCCGGACATCTACGTTTCCTCGAGCACGCCGTATTCTCCGCTGTCAGGAAACGATCTCTCCTCCACGCCGATCGCCGTCTATGGACCGTCCTCGACACCATCACCGCTAGCTGATCGTTCCGAAGCACATCTACCTCCATTAGTCATCTACAATACCGATCCAAAACGACCGAACGACTACAATTATCCGACGCCACGACCAGAAGACCCCATCTACCAATTCAGTAATGATCTACTACCTCCGAGGCATCAATTCGTCCACCACCGAAGACGAATCCCACAAGATCGGAGACGTCCCGTCTACGTGGAACCTATCGGCATCACTTCGGCAGCTCCGTTCATCGAGCGTGCAACGCCCGCTCCAAAACCGTCGGTTTTCCCTCTCTCCGACAACAACCTGGAACCCCAGCCAACCTTTAACCGTGATCTCCTGGAACCCCCACCAAACTACCAGCAACAGTACCATCAATCAACCCGTCGCTCCGATCAAACCTACGATGGCGTTTCGGTGACAAACAATGGTTTCCGATACTATCTACCAAGGCAGTATCACGAGGAAGCCAACTCCGGCAGTTCGACCCGGGATGGCAGCTTCGGCTACATCGACCCGTTCGGTATCCGCCGGGTGGTCTACTACAACACCGGGCCAGGTAAGGGTTTCGTCCACCGGAAGAACAACCGCTATGTGGGCTTCAACGCGACGCCGTACGATCCACGACCGCTGTGAGATTGAGAGATAAAGAGACGGAGAGAGCGAGGACCACCTCCATCAACCGCCAAGTTTTTTTTACGCTTCCACTAACTTATTTATTAGCAAAAATTTACTGTTGACTGCCTGCTAGAAGTAGGTGGCCATATTCGCGATAGTAACTAGTAGATGAACGATTTCAACCCGGACCCGCCGACGACGGTCGCTGGCGGTCAACAATGCTCTGCAAGGATGTACGGGGGCGAAGTCAATTTATGATTTGATTACTGTACAGGCGTACTTTGCGTGACAGTGAAGTAGAGCAGTATGTTATTGAATTCAATCAAGCTTTGTTGTTGCACTAATGAAGTGGACAAGCAGTGTTGACCTCGTCAGCGTCGTCGTCATCACCGGCGCCGCCGTCCGGTGGACGGTGTGTGACAATTTTTGAGGTGATTTACGCAGAGCAAGAAGCGGTTTAGTCATACGTACTGTCCGGATTGGATCTGGTGCTTTTAAAATTCAAGGTCCACACCGATCTGGACTCGCAATGAGAGCAATTTGCTTCAATCACAATTCGAATTTCAAATCACAAGAATAGAATATATGCATCAATAATAGGCACGGGACCGATCGATCGGTTCTATGTGCGAGAAGGGAGAAGTCATTGAAATGGAGAATGACTTCATTTTTTTTTCTGAGTGCGGTGATCGAACCCCAGATTGATTCCAGGAAACAGTCACTCTTTTTAAGAACGTAATAATTACAAATCGAATTAAGAATCAAACAAACGATACAAACCCAACAAGCGCGGGTGCTACAAAGTCAATGAGTCAGAAAATCTCGCAGGCGCCGCGGCATTCGAGTGAGGTCATTTTGTCAATGAGCCCATCACGTTAATTGTAGGGTACCTACCTTGGAGAGTAGCATATACTGAACTTATGAGCGAAATCCAAATGTGCGTTTCGGTGTTCCGGTCAAACTTCACTGTTCACGGTGAAGGTCATTAAGCCGACCGTAAGAGCTCCTACACATTTTATGACTGCGGTCGTGATTAGGTTCCGTTTTCCCTCCGGAGTTTCCGTGCTGCGAGTGCGCCTTTATGAGTGATATAATTCGTTGCGTTCGAGTGGTCAATGATATAGGGGCACTTGACGCCATGTGGCGAATTCAATGAGCCTCTTCATTACAGCGTGAGTCGCAGCGTGATAGCGATCGGCGCTAATTGCAGTCGAAATTGCGGATGACATTTTGCATGACGGCGCATTGCAGAATGTAAGGTCTTTGCATTTTCCTTAACTTATACTTAGCGGTTTTGTTCATTAGTCAGGTTGAACCTTGTTCCAACCCGTCTGAACCCTCGATCCGGGTCAGATTACAAAATCGTGTGTCAGAAAGACGCACTTAAAATAGTATCTCAGCTCGGCTGAAAAAAAAGCTGATTTAAAACGGCAACTCAAAATGTTGCTGATATTTAAGCAATCAACATAATTTTTCCGAGATTTACCTGAATTGCGGTAAAGAATATTAATTTGCCAAAATTTGACATATTAGCAAAGTCCGTCAGCAAATGTAGATAATACCGAAATAATGCCGCGGATACACTTGGATGACCAACTATGAGCATGAGCATTATTTGTATAATAAATTGTGAGCACATCCATGGTCACACTTGTATAGTTTGTGTATAGTTGTTATATAGTGCTCATAATTATTATACAAATAATGCTCATGCTCATAGTAGGTCATCCAAGTGTATCCGCGGCATAAGCATGATTACATCTCACCCCAGCAGGCCTGGGTTCAATCCCAGTCGGCGCCGCCGGGATGTTCTGAGGCATAACATCTCTGATCACGCCTACTAGGGAACTAAAGCCGTTGGTCCCCGGTTCATGAGTTGATGGGTCGATAGGTAGGGTTTAGGTGTGGGAACTGCCTCCCTGGTATCGGTAGCATTGGTACTCAGTACGGAAACCAAGATCGACGGAAAACAAATCAAGGAAAAAAATATCTGACCAGAGCTTGAGCCAATTGTAGAGTTGAGGTAAAAGATCTATCAACAAATTAGCTTTGATTAATTGCAAATTAAGGTCATTTAGGGCATCCAATAACTGATGAAAGGCTGAGATCTTTTTGTTTGCTGAACATCGAAATCAAATGTTCATAAGAAGATGAATTTTGAGGCCCAGAGTCTACATTGAAGCTAAATGTAGGCATCCATGCTTCTTGGATTTTACTCATTTGTATTGTTTTTATGTAGCCCTGAAAAAAAAGAGCATAAATGCAACTCTAAATGTAATACCGTAATTTGGGGGCAAATTGATCACATTAAACGTAAATATGGAAATTAATTCTTACATTAATGAAGATTGACAAATTTATGGTATTCAAATCAATATGCTAGCGGCACCGGTGGTGTAGTGGTAAGCGTGATTATCTCTCACTCCAGTAAGCCTGGGTTCAATCCCAGACGGCGCCACCGGGATGTTCTGAGGCATAACATCTTTTAGCACGCCTTCCTTCGGAAGGGAAGTAAAGCTGTTGATCCCCGGTTCATGAGTTGATGAGTCGATAGGTAGGGTCCAGGTGTGGGAGCTGCATCCCTGGCGTCGGTAGCATTGGTGCTCAGCACGGAAAACATGATCGACGGAAAACAAATCAAAGGAAAAAAAATCAATATGCTATGATGATACTATCATTCCGCATAATTACTTAAAACATTGAGCGTTTTGTTTTGTTTTTGGGCATTTATGTAATCTGAAATTCACCAGCTGGTTTTGTTATGTAAACATGATCAGCTAGAAGCTTGAGAACAAATGTATCTGGACATCTGGAGAAGTGTGATTGAAACCAAGCGTTATATATATTCCAATGTAAAAAAGATATCGAAAGCAAAATATGAGATCGATGACATTAAAATCACTCGAGTCTAAATGCCGAAAAATTTCACAATCTTATGAAAAAATAATTAAATGCAGTTGCATTACTGATAATTTCACAGAAAATCATTAATTCTAACATTGGAAGCATTTTACCATATTTAAAAAAAATGATGGGCATTGAAAAATGTAACTTTCAGTTTTTTTTTTTTTTTTTCTTGTCGGGTATTTTTATCACTGCGACCATTTTTCTGATCTATTGTGATATATTCCCCTTTTTTTTTCTTTAGCTATTTTTTTTTTCTTTAGCCGTATCACTATTATTAGGAGTGATCGCCATCGTTTGACTAATAGTATTATCCCAGCACGGCATTATACTTCGAATAAAGTGCACTGCCGTACTGTTCTCCAAATATCATACGGGTCCTATCAGCCCCTTGTCGAAGAACTTACGCCTTTTATTGAAAATTGCCGGACAGTGACATAGCAAATGTTCCAAGTCTTCCTTTTCTATGCCACAGAAGCGACATACATCATCTTGAAGTTTTCCTATCAGCTTTAAGTGATAACGGCTCGGACAATGACCTGTTATAAGACCTGCATATACACACTTAGAAATAACTAATTTTACACGTGATGGAATCCGTCTTTGACATAAAAGATGAGACGTAAACAAACATGTCATGTAATATTAAGTGCTCCGAGACTGAAAAGTTCGTTGTTCGACGAAAAATACGTTTTATTGAGCTTTATTTCGCGTCTGTTATGACTCAAATTTATTTCAAAATTGACGCTCGTATATGTCACTCTCAGAGCACCTAAATTTACATGATTTTTTCTAAGTGTGTATACTAAGATCTTTCTTAGAAAGTTCCAGGATTTTGCGGGTCACAGAAATGTTTGGATTAATAAATCGCTTCGACTGCCTAGCAATAGAAGTGTTCTACCAGTTTTCCTCCACTGTTGAAGATTCCCACGCTTTTAGCTCCATTCTAAGAGATGCAGCCGATAAGCCACAAAAGGGCTCTGGCCCGATGAACTTATGAGAAGATCCGAGTCTTGCTAGTGCATCAACTCTTTCATTTCCCTCAATCCCGCAATGACCAGGAACCCAATAAAAGTTGACTTGATTATGACAAGACAATTTTTGAAGTGATTGAACACACTCCCAGACAAGTTTTGATGTACATGTCGCCGACTTTAAAGCATTTAGAGCAGCTTGACTGTCGGATATGACGCATATATTTGAACTCTTATAGTTTCTACGCAAACATATAACGGAACACTCTAAAATTGCTTGGATTTCAGCTTGGAACACAGTTGGCCATCTGCCCATAGGAACCGATATTTCTATCCCTGGGCCAGTTACTCCTGCTCCCACTTGATTGTTCAATCTTGAACCATCTGTATAAAAAACAATCGATCCTGGACGAAGAACCGGGCCACCAAATTGCCATGAATTACGCCCAGGGTCAACAACTTGAAAAAGTCGATTGAAATTGTATCTTTTCTCCATCCAGTCTTCGTTGTTCCTTACTAGAGAGTTGATACAAACAGTTTTTAGAATCCTAAGATGTCCTCTAAGGTCATCTTCAATGAGTTTAACAGACCTTGTAATCCTTAGAGCACACTTTTCGGCTTCTAATTGTACAAATTGATGCAATGGTAGCATATAAAGCAAAGCATCCAATGCCTTCTCATTGCACCTGTTATTAAGAAAGTTGATAGCCTTTGGAGTTTTTCTAACTTTCTCTGAGCAGGCATGGAAAATCATTTGCATTCATTTCGTGCATTCATTTACATTCATTTGCCCCTAACTTTTTTCATCAACAGAATTCCGCAAAATAGTCTACAGAACATTAGTAGGTTTTATTATTAGCTACAACTTTTGTTAGCAACTCAAATCCGTATCTCTTATGTATGACGAATTAGAGCGAACAGAAGTCACTACTGTTTTTCAGTGAATGTATTTTACATTCACTGAAAAACAGTAACAACTTCTGCCCGTTCTAATTCGTGATGCATAAGAGATACAGATTTGAGTAATGGGCAAAAGTTGTAGTAACAACAAAACCTACAAAAGCTCTGTACATCTTTTTGCGGAATACTGCTGATAAAAAAAAGTTAGAGGCAAATGAATGTAAATAATTGCATGAAATGAATGTAAATGATTTTCCATGCCTGTCTCTGAGCAACACTCTCTTTTGTTTTTGGCCACCAGACCAATGCACCATAAGTAATCCTGGGTTTCACAATTGCCGAGTAAATCCAATGGATCATTTTCGGTTTCAGTCCCCACTGTTTACCGAATGTTCTTTTGCATATCCATAGAGCATTAGTAGCTTTGTTTATTGCCTGCTCTAGATGCATATTCCAATTAAGTTTACTATCGAGGATTACTCCAAGATATTTGACAGCATTAGAAAGTTCCAAAAGTGTGCCTTTCAATCTTATGTTGTCTAATGAAAATTTCTTCCTTCGGGTGATTGGCACGATAGTAGTTTTAGAAGGATTTATGTTTAATCCTTCCCTATCACACCACGATGAGACAAAATTTAAAGCAATTTGCATTCTGTTAGCAATAATACAATCATATTTGCCACGTACAAATATGACTATATTATAATTCTTTCGAAGCCTTGGGCTATTACATTTTTGAGAAGGTCATCAACTATTAAATACCACAATAGAGGTGATAACACGCCTCCTTACGGGCATCCTTTGGTTGCTCTTACACTGATGAGTGAGCTTGCAAGGTTTGCTGATATTTCTCTTTTCGATAACATTTCATTGATCCAATTTACAATGCTTTGATCGAAACCACGTTTCATCATAGCTGTAGTCATTGAATCGTGAGATGAATTATCGAATGCACCTTCAATGTCAAGGAATGCAGCAAGTGAAATTTCTTTTGCTTCAAAAGATCTTTCTAGTCTTTCAAGTTAAGCACAACAATCGTTTCAGCCCTATGATTTGTATGTTTGAAGACTGATATTATATGTCAAATCAACTTTTTGTAAATAGACACTCGCTACAGCTACCATTGAAGTCTTATAATGAAATGCTATCAAGATGTATCTTAATATCTGCCACCAACCAACCAACTTTACCCCGGTGATCAACTTGCCCCGGGATCACAGTTGTTACATTAATTTATTTATTTATATATTTTTGTGTTGAAATGTAGATTCCACATCTTTGTTTGGTTTTCATCTGCTTAAAAAATATAATCGTGCATCTGAAATTAAAACTTTGAAAGTAGATGATATGGATCCCCCCGTAAGGATAGCAGCCCCTGGCACCCGGATCCTAAATCCGGCACTGCATTGACTTAATCCATTAAAAAATTTCGGTAATACAACTGTCACTTTTCTCACTCGCCATTCAAAGATTCAACTTCTGAGGAAACCTCGGAGGAAACCCCGATAATCTGACCGTTTTTAATCTGACACATTTGACTGTGATCTCCGATAATCTGCACGCCGTTCAAACTATAAATGGTTCAAACGTCATTTAGCTCATGGAATGGAGTAAAGTGAAATGG